TGACTGTAGAATTTGTAGCTTCTTTGCATTAACATCCATATTTTTGGAACATTGTCTAATATCATGGCGACAACAGAATCAGGTTTGTTGTCGAAGCATGGGAACACATACAAGGAGTCTGTCGTTTTTTTGTTTCTCTCAATGTGATGACTTCAATTGTGCCAAAAAACACACCTAAAGTTTTTTTCAATTGCTAACAAGCATTGTCCAATACTTAAACTACTTTTTCAAAACTCTTCACACAGTCTGCATTACAAACATGCATCTCAGCTAAACATTTCATCTCACCAACAAACCACATACTACATGTCTCAAAATAAGCTCATTCATCCACCACACTGATAACAAGTCTCACTCAGGAAGCAAACACTCACTCTTAGCACACTGAACTACAAGATACTAACAACAGAGAGCATGACATAAAATACATTTTATCTTTAAAGTTTGAATGATTTTTTTTCAGATAAATCAGTATTTTATTATCGAATAAGATCTTTGCACTTTATTGAGCATACTAAATTATTGTATATTGTAACAAGAATGAATCAGCAATTTGCTTCAATGACATTTATGTTTTCTATATCTTTGCATAGTGATTTACAGTACTTCATGTATAACATATTCACTCCCTCTCTTCTGCATTTTGCCACATGTTTTCGTCATTCATTGTTTGCAATGACCACATGAATGAGAGCAGTTTCCTGGGCATCTGAAAAAATTCGGCCTCTCCCTCCTGCAGGAGGCGACCTTTGAATCCTACATACAGTAATATAAAACACAAAACGATCAATATATTTCAAAAATGTCAGTAGATGTAAAATATAAACATAGTGTACTGTACTGTAAAATGTGGTACAATAGTTGAGGATGCATGTCTCACCTGTTGTTTTGCCAGAAAATTCTCAATTTTGATGCAACTGTTGAATGCCGCAAGTTTGGCTGCACGCTTAATCCGGCCTCTCTCATAGAGAATCCATGATTCACCACATGGTCAATAACTGTGGCCCTTATCTCATCAGAGACCACAGCTCTTGGTCTTCCTCTCCTTCCTCTTCTCTCTCTCCCTGCCACTCCTCTCTCTCCACCAACCTGTCCTCTTTGATCCATACTTCCAAAAAAAACATTCAGAAGCCATCCCCTTTTATCTGCTTGCATCAGTAATGAGGCCAAACACAGGTCACCTGGGCAGGTTTTCAGCTGCAAACTGCACTCAGCTGTGTTTGGAATTATTATTGTTTCATTTTATTGGCAATATTTTGATATTATTTTCTATAGATTTCAATGTGGCTGCAGCTGAAATGCACAATTTTTTTTTCCAGCAATCTGTTTTGATTGTGTTTTGAACTGTTTTGAACAAAGTGTGTTAGCATTTGAAAAATGTGCTGCAAAAGTAAGTGTTTTGCAGGTGGTGGGCTCTGACTGAGAAAGGAGTTCATGAATTTCGGTAACTGTGGTCACTGAATGCATTTTGTATGAAAGCAATTAAAAGTGATTCACAGTTTGCTCCACATAGACTTCTGCTTTGCTGACTGTGTGAAGAGTTTTGACAATGTGACTTCAGTTTTGACCAATGCTTGTTAGCAATTGAAAAAAACTGTAATAGCTTTTATTAAATTCCTTAAAATTCTTCACTGCATATATTATAGGAATGTGGACTGAAATGGATGGTAAACTGAAACTTGACTGGTTGGTGGGGGTGTAGATCAGCAGGGCGGTAATTCTAGTTGCCATGTAAGATTGAAAACATTTAATTAATTTTCATATAAGTGAGTGCAGATTTCCAGTGAGATCAGGCTCCATACTGGGGACTGGAGATGGTCACAGTTCAATGTAGCGACAAAAATGATAAATTATCATAAATCATTTGTGCATGAATGCACATTGAGCTGCCTAGTGGGGATATCATCATTTATATGGTAAATAGAGTGATGCCCTGCTGTCTGTTATGTTCATTCAAATTAAAATGCCCTCACATGACATGTGAAACCCATTTACAACCAAAGCTTTAATTGCTGAATAACAAAACTGTCCAAGAAACACTCTTATAGAAACAAATGGCACACAGTAAATCACCTTTCTGTTCATTAACACATGAAGAAATGAATTTGTCACAGCAGCAGTTTAGGATAACACAGCGTGATTTGCATGCATGACCTTGCAGCCATTAAAATGCCAGTTGGCTAATCTTTCTAGTAGTCTGTCTGATATAAAGATAAGTAAAAATATTAGCATTAAAGGTCACATTAACCTCTTCAAGATGAGGACATCAGCAGTTACTGATAATTGTATCTGCTTTTAATTAGCCCCAGCATTTGGTGTAACTGCTTCCACAAGTTGATCAATATTTACTTTATGATCTTTTCTTATTGAAGAGCCGTACAGTTACACTGTAGTATACACAACACAGCTGAACTACACACATTTTCCAGTAGCATATAGAGTTTTAATTAATGCCACATTAGCTTTTCATTTGAATGATTTAAATCACATCACAACAGAGAATATAGTGTCCTCTTTGATGACCATCTGTATAGTAAAAAACAAAGTATTCCCTAAGCTTGGATTGTTAGAAACAATTCAATGTACAGTGAATATGAAAAATATTAGGGGCATCTTTCTTTATATTAACCTTTGTACAATTCAAACCTCAGTTGTCTCAAAGATACTTCTCTTACTCGTTTTTAGCTCCATCCCCTCCGGTCGCACTGACACAGATTTATTCGGGCTGAATTAATAAATTATGAGGCTATTACCTGGATTCACTCCATCAAAAGTGAAAAGATTTAATGAAATCAGATCTGTGCAGGAGTAATCATTTCTTTCCCTGGAAGTTAAATTTTAAATAGTTTTTGTGTTTGGCAAGCATCGACTCTCCTGTGACTTCAAAGAAACAGAGCTGTTCGTCTGTGTGGGGTGACAGACAGAGGGATTAATACATCAATCTGAACATATAAAGGAACAAAGCATTGACATGAGGCATAGAGCAAATACAAAGCCGATGCAGAGAACAGAGATGCTAAATTGAAATCTCTCATTCCCGCAGGAGGGAGGAAGCATGATGCACGCCATGGGAGATCTATGCACGCTCAAATTATGTGGAGACTTTGCTAGACAGTTAACACTTTGCAGCATGTTTGGATCTGCAATTTTAAGTCATGAGAGGGCAGAGCCACTCTTTCACAGACATACACACACACACACACACACACAGAAACTGATAATCATCAACACACTGAACTGCACTGTGCAACAGTAAATCATGTAGACATCTCAGATTTGTGGTTGAAGCATTCAAATACAGACCAGCACATCTCGCTTATCTGTGCCACAGCAACAACAAAATGCTAAGGCTTACTGTATGACACAATGTCCTAAGTTTTTCATCAGAGTTTGAAATGTAAGTTTGAATGCTTTTTTTTTTTAGGGACTTAAATTTACTGTAACCTTTTGACCAAGCTTATTTGTTCAATTGTACCCAGTTTTCTAGCCCACTAACCTACTTATGTACAATGTTCTGCACCTGAAAGTCCCACATTCTTGAGGCTGTTGTTTGACAAAATAACCATAGGTTAAAATGTGTGATTATGGAGGGGGAAAATGCCCGTCACATGCTGAGAAACTCAGAGAAAGAGACATAATGATTCCACTTTTTTGTCTGTTGCAAATTAATTGAGAGCCAACACTAAATCTTCAGTGCCTACACCTAGAATTAATGAATTCAGTATGAAGTTATCAACTTGGAGGAATGTGAGGACCCCATTTATAACAATAAGAGTTGACAAAATATTAGGAACACCTCTCAGCATAACACAATAAAATTCAACAGCACCACCAACATGCATTCACCAGAATGACCATAAATTTCAACACCTCTCTAAAACAGTTTCAACAGAAACTGAACATTATAAGATGCAGGAAGTAAGGATTTATTGCAGGACTGATAACGAGTGTATTCTTTATTCAGATCTTTTTTTATATATATATATGTGTCACTTATTGGGCCATAATTGTGAAGTCAGCCAGGTATGTAGACACAACTCCCATCCCTCTCACCTGAAAAGTGGATTAGACTTTACTAAGTACTTTCTCAGCTCAGTCACTACTTTTCACATCCACACCTTAAAAATGACATGAGGCAATAGAAGAGGTAACTGTGGGAGATAAATTGAAATAGCTGTAGCCTACCCGTTTATAACACCGTAGATTAGCCTTAGGCAATGTAGCTGGGTCCATCTCACTTCACGACTATTGATCGAGAGAACAGATCATCCCTTTACGCAAAGGACAAGTACAAAAGACAATATCGATTTCATGTCGAAACATTCAGGAAGCCAGACAATGTGATTTATATAAGCTGCCCACATTTGTATTTATATAAGTGTTATTTTGGACATGCTTTTGGCACAGAAGCGAAACAATCACGAACAATAAGGTGATCGTTAGTGTTGGGCCTGTGAATGAGGGCTGTGAAGGTCGTGTATAGATCCCTGGAGAAAAACAGAGGGGGGGGGCGACAACGACTCAGAAATAAGGTTTTTTATACTGTAAAGTCTCTAAGATGAAGCTGACTGTATGCGGCGTGGTCACGATATTTTAAGTGAACAGTGATCCATCTTACTCCGGCATTTTCCAGTGTAACTCCATTGTCATGCACGGAAACAAGTAGAAGAAGCCCAGTGGTGGAGCCACAGTGAAGCGATCAGTGAAGCAGTGCTGTGTGCTGATGGTAACTCGAACTTGAATAAACCGAAACGTTTTCTGTAATTTAAATCCCCCAGATCAAAGTCACATCAGTGCAAATAATGGCCTAATTTTATTTAATAGAAATATTTTTAAACGACAGGACAATGTGAAATATCGTCATCAAAATAAATTGAAAAAAAAAACATTTACTTGTATTGCGAATGGCACAGGAGCTGTAGACTAAGTATGACAGTTAGAGTAAATTACAATCATGATGAGCAGGACACATGTTCTCTGTGTCTAATTCATTTATTTTAACCCATCAGGTCAGGTGACCTCGGATCCGTGTTCATGCCAGAGTTTCATCTTCTGTATCACTTTCTGCTTTGGATGTAGCTTTCTAAAATCTTCATCAACAAGTCCCCCTCCTGAAACGCAGAGTCCATGACATCAAATTAAGACACAGGGTCATCACTTCAGGCATTTTTGTGTGAAAACACAATCAAAGCGTTTGGACATCAGTGGTACTCACCTGATTTTTCGAGCGGCTCTCTTGTGGATCAACCTGCGCTTGCAACGCCACCCGCAGAAACTCTTGGAAAAGCTCCCCGAGGGCGCTCTGCTCCCCAGGGAGGGTGACTTCCAGCGCATCGACACCCTGTCCATCCGCTGAAGGCAACAGGGGCGTATCCATCACACTCTTCTTTCCCATGAAGTGTCCTGCCAAGTCAGAGAAAACACTCTTTAATGTTGCCTTAAATTAGGTGAAATCTGGAGGAGAGAAAACCTCCCTTGTAGTGACATGGCGCAGTCAACACATCAACATCGTTCCAAGCAAAGTCAGTGTCATCATGTAAATATTGATTTACTTTATATTTAAAAATGTAGGCTATAACATTTGAAATATAAGATTTTCTTTTAGATTAAAAGATGAGTCTTACCTGTAGCCCAAAGATTGCCTCTTGGATTCACTTTAATTTTTGCAACTTTATTCCTAAGCTCAGTCAAGTCGAAACTGACTGCAGTGGTAAAAGACACAAAGGAAAATAAGACAAGATAAGTAAATAAGCCACACTGGCAAACATTATTCAGCGTAAACCCTCTCATCTCTGCGCGGAGTGGCGAACTGTTCTTCAGGGAGCAAGTTTCCAAAGCGTCTCCTGTTGGCTCTGGATTGCTCAGACGCATCCTGCTTTTATAGGCTCTCCTTTCTCTGGGTGGGCTCTCTTTACGTTGCGTGTAATTTTTATTCAGCCTGCTGCATAAATTAAAATGCAGCCGGTTGACACATTGCGAAGGTCTGACGAGACCGCCTCTGTGGCCGTGCGTCTTTTACGCACCACACGATTCATCCTCGAGCTCAGGGCAGATGTGAATGCTTGCTGAAAAACTAGATTAGCATCAGCATACCAAAACGCAAATATTTTATTCACTGGAGGGATGGAGTAATTCAGATTCTATTTGATTTCCCTTTTGTCAGAGGCTGAAAAGATTTTCAGACTTTTTTGGGCACAAGTAGCCTACGTCATATGGATGGCGGGACCCTGCACAAACAGCAGTATATTTACTGTACTATATGTATTTAAAGAAATGCTCCTCAAATGCTCTTACAGTTCATACTAAACCGATAAAATATGCCACAACATACATGTCACAGCTCTTACCAAAAGCTCCATAAACTGGCAAACATCATTGACTGTATATAGAATTTTTTGTTTGAGGCTGTGCATCTTTGGTGTAAATTGTGAGATCTGATCCACGAAATGGCACAGGTGAATCTTTCTCCCTCCAAAGCAACACATGCAGTCATTTCCTTGCCAGGCCTCTACACCGCCACCCCCCACCCCCACCCCTCCGTCTCTCACGGCCAGGCCTGGCCCCTTACAATGAGCAACGTGACATTTGGCCGGTTGCAGCATGCCGCTGTGATCACCATCAGTCCTCTGAGGACAAGAACCTGCTGATTCTCGCTGCTAATTTAGAGCTGATAAGACAGACGGCCTCTGTGTCACTTCAGGGTGCTAAAGTTGCAAGTTTATAGAGGAGCTGCAGCTTGTGTCTTGCTCTTTTCACAACCTTTGGCATTCACACACACACATACTTGTGATTTCAAGCATTCTGCACGACTGAATGTCAGTCTAATTAAGAGAGTCTGACCATCACGGCCTCACTCTCACCATGTTCACAGATTAGGTGATCTGTCACAGCCGTGGTTTTATGAAACACTGCATTTTCCCTCAAAGATGGGATGGATATTTGCATCTTAGGCTCAAACCAACTGATTTACAGATCAAAGCGTGCGATTAATTTTAGGCCATAATCACTTGAGACTAAATTAAGTTTGACCATGCAGCACATTGTGATTTTTTGTGAGGTACCGCTTAAAATGAAAGCAGTAAAAAGCCCCACTGAACTGGCAACATAGGCAAGGTCTTTGAGGTCTAACAAAAACCTGCAACCAAATGCAATCAATCTCAGTCAGAGTTCAAGTGCCTCAATAGTTTCAAGTGGATCCATATTAAAATTATCTGTCAATCCCTAGTACTGTATGATTACATGCTGGTGTTGGTCAGCTTCAGTAGGATTCACCTTGATTGCGAGAACACTACAGTGTGCTCAACATCATGTAAACAACAAGGTTAATGCTCAGCATGTCTGTGCTCATGAAAAGCTCAGACCACTTGCAATGAGGCAGAGCCTGTGGCCCACTCCAGTGACCTTTACATAAGAAAGTTATCAAAAAGCCATTACATTATTTCATTTACAAGACAAGGTGTGTGCAACAATTGATTTCTGGCACAACTCTGCAAGTTAACCCTGATCTGACTGTGGTTGGTACTGGTTTCACAGAATTTTTGGATTGTCCTTTTAAAAATGAAAAAAAAAAAAAAAAAAAAAAAAAAAAGCAGGTATAAATGAAATCTATTTTCTTCACATTAACCAATACAGTGCTGCAGGTTCATTTTATGTAGCTTCCTCTTTCAACACAAAACAATTGTTAAAAAAAGACATTACTCATCACTTGCAGCTACAAATAGTGGACAGAAGACATAACTACTTTCATGTGAGTGATTTTGATTCTGTGTATTATTAATAATAATAAAAAAAGATGTTGCCACAATAAGCAGTCCATTTTTGACACATGCTCTATATTTCCAGATCACAACTGCTCTATCACATTGGGAAAAGAGAGGGTATGACATCCTCTGACTCTTGAAATGGGGCCAAGAGAAACTGAGAAAACTAGTTGAAATAGTCCATAGTGGAAGGTAACCAGATTTAATATTTAATATCATTCATATTTAGTTCTCATAAAATACTTCACATATTTTTTTTTCCAAACACAATGGTTCAACAGGAAAGAAACAAGACTTAATTTATCTTTAAGAATGCTGTTTCACATTCTGAGGATTACAAATAAAGATCAACTTCAATCTAAATCTAGCCTAGTTCCCTCACAAAAATATTTTTAAAGCTTGGATTTTTCAAATGTAAACACCCTATCCACATTTCTACAAAATGTTCAAACAAATGGTACAAAAAAGCCAGTTGGGTTTGACAAAGTCTAACTTAATTCTGTTTTGAAAGGCATGATTGAGGTTTCCTGGACGTAGTTTATCCTTCTTGAGTCCTGAAGTCTGGGAACCTCACTCCCGATGGACCAACACAAAGAGACCCAGCATGAAGAGGACAGCATACTGCAGAGTGAAAACACGTGAGGAATCAGAATTACACCAGAAACTTTAATGCTTGAGAGCCAAGCGAATCTTGTCAATTGAGACGAGGGTCGACAAACTTACTTTGAACTTGGGGTAATCGTTCATGAGAATGGTGACAATTCCAATGTATGGCACAAACCTGGAGATGACATGAATATTCACTGTCAAAAATTTTTATTGATACACAACATATGTCAGTTTGTAACTGATCAAACCATACAGCAGACTCTGAGTCTATAATGCAAGCCACCTGGAAGCTGCCCCTCGTCCTAATTTTTTATGTCCATATCCTCGGAATCGGAAAGTAGCTGCTAAACCTTAAATTACTGAAGAATAGTGTGTCCTCTGTATGAAAAGGTAAAATGAAGGCTTGTAGAATTACCCTTTTTGGTTAGGGTTAGGGTTATCTGTGGAGTGTGGATGGAAACCAGAGAACCTGGAGAAGACCTACTCAGACACGGGGAGAAGGTGCAAACTCACAGAAAGAAGAAGTTGCAATTTCCTGTTTTAATGACTTCCTCTTTCTGTTAATGAGCCACCGTTTGGCCCTGAGGTTTTTTAGAGAGGATAAGGAGAGATAATGAGGTTAGGGTGGGTAAGGAGAGAGAGAGAGAGAGAGAGAGAGAGAGAGGAAAGATGACATAGGGCTTAGGAGTAGGGGAGTGATATCACTTTGGGAGGTAGTGCAAGGCTGGGTCCCCCTCAGTTTGCTCAGTTGCTTTTCTCTGAACCTCCTTCATCTGATTTGGTTGATCCCTACAGTTGATCCCTACATTTTTCTCTCTGTTGTTTCTTGTCGCTCTGTGTTCTACTTCCAGCAGGTATATCTTCTCTTCCTTCTCAGCCATGAGCCGATTTAGCTCTACCTCAGGTATTTGAAGGAGGATCTGTTTGTTCAGATCCACTTCCCTGGGTCAGGCCCATGGTCTACTTCAGATGGAAGCAGAGACACAGGACAGATGTGCTTCATTCATCTCTGTGTGTCAGTAGACACAGAAGTTGACACAGCTGTCTCTGCTTCCATCTTCAGTGCAGACCTCTTGTGTTTTTGCTGCAGGCTGTCATGGCATCACAATAAATCCAAAGACAAAGTTGACTGGATGAGCAGAATTCATCTTCTGAGGCAGAGTCCTCTCTTTCCCGCCCTTCTTCTGTCCCTCCCTTGTCTGTTGTTTAGATGGCCCTCTCTGGAGGGAAGGAAACTATTGTGTCAAGTTCCTGGCAGGACTTTAGACCAACCACCTCTAGGAGATTTGTAATACTTCAAGGGTTGACTTTCCCTGCTCTTGCTCACAACATCATTGACCATGGACCCATCTGTCACTGGTTATTTGACACAATGTGAGGCAATGGAGCTATGTATATTGATTAGTTATTTATTCGTCACTAAGCAGTTGGCATATAAACCTAATGTATTTGGTTTAAAATCAAACAAAACAAAGAAAAAGAAGAGAAGATATCGGCCGATTAATTAATCAGTGATGAAAATAATTATTACTTGCAGTCCTACACAAGGTAGCCTGATTTCAGGAACGAACATCTGAGGGTCCCAAATATAAACCTAAGTGCTCAGTGTCCTCCCTGCCCCTCTCAAACATCTGGACAAGTACAGATTAAAGGGATGAACTTCCTATGTCATACCTTGTTCAGTATAAATTAACTAGCAACGGATAATAGACCAACCATAATCCCTAAAGCCAAAACTGTGAAGATGTGAAATTGCTGCTTATTGCAGATGACCTTGTCAGTTTTCCTTTGGCCAAAAGAACTATGGCTTCCATTCAATTCCATTAGAGAAATAGAAATGTTGCTTTTACTGTGTCATCTTGTAAATAAAGAAGATTTTAATTGAATACACTGTCTCTGCTAGACTTTCAAAGCTTCCCTAGATCGTAACTCTCCAGTTTTGAGAAATGTATTTGTGGCCTCTACTACACAACAAAGAAGTTACCTGTATTAAAGATGTTAATAAGATAACTGTACCATTATGCATTTTTCCAAACAAAGTACTCACCCCCTAGCTCGCCCCACCACATCTTTTTTCTCCAGCCAGTGTTGGCCCTGCTTGTACAGTCCTCTGTCATCCACTGCATTGTTGTCCCCTTTGGTCAAGAACTTAATGTCTCCATTTTCCCTATGGACAAAGTATAAGCATGATTTTAGACCAAAACGTACACCATGACCACTTTTTCAACACTCTTGTGTCTGGATGAGGATGAAGCGTGAAATATCACACACACTTTTCCAAACATCTTTAGATTGATTTGATACAGTTAAATCGTTATGAATGGCATTCTCAGGTTTGATACATATGTATAGGATGTGCATTCGTACTTTTCATGGATCTTTAGTACTCTGTGTACTATTGGGATCTCTCTGCCTTCTATCCTGAAGACGACGATCTCTCCGACTCTGATAGGATCCTCT